CATAATACACACACATAGCTACACACGCACACTAACTTAGAAAATTCTGATGTATATGACAGATAGCACTGAGAACTATATAGCGCCTCTGGATCATAATCCGGGAACTAATGCACCGTTCTGTTTTACTCAATATGTCATACACGCACGCACCATACACAAAAATTTTCACGGATTTATTTCTAATAAACTAAGCTTCTAAGTTCAATTTTGAGGGTTCCATGTTGTTTTTCCGTATAATCTAGAGTGCGGAAAGATACACAAGTTGCATAATTTATGCATAAAAAGAATATTGTCACAAATTGACAGCTTTGAAGGTTAAGAAAAATCTTTTTTTTTTATTTTTTTTTCTTGCCTTCAAGTCTAGGCTTCCGCACTTTATTATCGCGTGTATTTTAATCGTAGAAAAGGATTTTTCATTCTTTGCAGACAATAAAAAGATCCTTGCTCGCGAAAACATTGTGTTCAGTCGCCCGCTAAACTTGAAACCTTCTGGTAACGTCACATTTTGATTGTAATTCAGCAAATTTGAAACGTTTTATATGTATAGGTTATAAAAGGTTTCATAAACGTCTCGAATTAATGTTTTATTTGTATCAGTCTGTTGAACGTATCAGAAACGTTGCTTTTCCGCATTAAATTCGACAATTTGTAACGTCACAAACGAAACGTTTTGTAACGTTCAAGTAACATTTTGTATGAAATGTTTCCTTTGCGACCTTATAAACGTTGCCTCAACGCTAGCATTTGCGATGTTTCTGAAACATTTATTTTGCCCCATACTTTAAACGTTTTGTCCGAAATGTAAACTAAAAAATATTTCACTACTTCGCATTAACGTTGTAAATGCGATGTTATATATTCTATGTGTCATGATCTTAAAAGATTTAAAATTTTTCAGTCTTGTAAAGTCAGCTCATAATTTTTTGTTGATAAACACGGTCATAAAACTTTTTAACAAATTGGAATTTTGCAATAAATGAGATCTCAAAATATTTCTCCCAATTTGCTCCGTTCAAATAGAGATCAATTTCAAAAATTGCTTTCTTTTATATATTTTATTTTTTAAAAAATGTTTTTTTTTTTTGTCGCGAGCTGGCTTTACTATATAGTGTTAATTTTGTTAATCTCTAGAAATATGTACATATATTCATAATAAATTCGCGCGGGATATTTATTATCAGTTTCGCTTTAAACTGCGGGAACTGTAGGGGGCCCTACACGGATCGCGGAACGGATCATATCAATTGTTTCTAAACTGTCCATCAGACACACGGCTTTTTACGCATATTAACGATTTACGATCAGTGCGGTATTCGGTTTTTCTTATCACGGTTGTGTTTTATTGTGTATCAAACAAAATTAATGACGTCCCACACCTAGACTCCTGTTGCTGAGAGGAAGCCGCATCAATTACGACATGAGGTAAGTAACAAACTTGTTTATAACCTACTTAACCTAAAAAGTAATTCATATTTACTATAATTGTTTGAAGTGCATACTCACGAGTGGATAAGGCAGAAAAAATGGAAAAGATTAATAAGTGCTTTGTGTCTAAAAGACATATGCGTCGAAGAGTTAGAAAAGAATTATTAGAAACTTTGTCGGTGAATCAGAAATTAAATAAAATAAGTGATAAATCACAAATTAAAACTATATTCCAGCAGTCAGCAACGCAAAAAGAAAACAGCAATGAA